ACAGGGCTGGAGATGTGCCCCTGAGTTCAATCCCTGGTACCAAAAACCAAACAAACAGACAAACAAATGTATAAGATGTGCCTAATAAGCAGTTTTGACATCTTTTAGAGTTTAATTATCCTACTCTTTTCCCTTTTTGGCTCACATATTTCAACTTCCTATCAAACATTGTTTCATTCTCACACCCGCCTCTCCTTACACGCACATACACACACACTTCTTTTCTCATGCTTTCATAATATCAATGATAAAGCAATGTTAATTTTTGGAAATGAAAATAATTTATTTAAAATGTATGATATTTTATATGTTGTGTAAGTTTTCAAGATTCTTTGACATATTAAGATTTTTAGTATATTAAATGTCCTATCAGAAAAAATAGCTGAGTTTTTGGGAATTCTCATACTCCTAATATGAAGTGGAAAATTAAAAATTTTGAGGGATTTAGGAAGTATATAGAAAGACAAATGTGACTATTCCTGACTCTACTTTTGACCTTGTCTCTATGTCCTCAAAATTATAACATCACATTTTAAATGGACACTCAGAATGGATTTCCCATTTTGTGAAAATAGTTTTTTCTGGGCACTGCTTTTCTTGCTGTAGTCACAATACTATTTTCTCTCTTTTCTTGTGCTTTCCATGTTACTTACCTTGACAAACCAGTTCATATGCCAGAAGGTATTTGGGGAGTAATTTGATGATGTATATATTTTAGGGCAGTCATATGTTGAGTAAGCACAAATCTGTAGAATCACCCAGCTGTAGATTTTGGTCCTAGTCTGGCCAACTGCTAGTTGTTAACCTGGAAGTTTCTCTAATGTCTCCAAGTCTGTGTTCATTCATTTATAAAAACTAGTGGAAAATATCCTCATGGTCCTTGTATATACTGCATAAAATAACTCTTGCAAAAACTATTTGCAATGTGCCTGCCTTACACAATAAGCACTATAATTGTATATTGTATTATATCTTTTAACACCTTAAATGAAATTAAATATTAAAATAAAGAGGAAGCTTTTATCATATCTAAGTAAAACTCTCTTTTCTAAGATCCTGCAAGAGCCATGTTCCTTTCTGTTCCCTTTTTTGTGGAGCTAATACTTAACTAAAATTGTAGTAAAATCATATAAGAACATAGGACAGGAATACAAAGCAGTGATCCTATGATAATTTCAGTACCAACCAACCAATTGATAACATGCAGGAGAGGAAAGCAAGAGAATTAGGCCATGGGTCAGCTGACTTTTAGAAATATTTTAACCTAATGGGCATTTTTTTTCTTCCTTTCTATGTTCTATAGTTAAAGTTCTAAAATTTAAAATTTTAATGCTGCTTCTGTTTTGGTACCAGGGATTGAACCCAGGAAACTTAACCATTGAGCCACATCCCCAGCCCTTTTATTTATTTTTTTTATTTTGACTTAAGAGTCTCACTAAGTTGCTGAAACTGGCCTCAAACTTTCCATCCTTCTGCCTCAGAATCCTGAGTCACTGAGATTATAGGCGTGTACTGCTGCACCCAGTTGAAAACTCATTTATTCTTAAACTCAGTTTTACCTTTGAGCAAACTTCTCAAAAGAATGACTGCCAAGATACTTTTAGCTTATTTTCTCAAATGCATTTCTCATTATCTTCTTTAAAACTCCTCTCCAAAAAACATCGTAGGGACGACTGTAATTAGGCTAATTGTGTGTGCCCATATGTGCAGCTTATGGAAGAGCAGAGAGCAGTCATAGCAAGAACATGGCGCAATCTGCCTCCAACAGGAGCAACTCTAGAGCTCTCAGGGCTGGCCACACAAGCAGGCTTGGGCTAACAGCTGTGATGAACAGAACGGCAGAACGTCAGCCCCATAGTTCATTTGGTGTGAAAATAAATTGACAGTTATTTATAGGGAATAATTAATGAAACATTGTAGAAAAGTAAACACATTTTTGCACCCTTTGAGAAACTGTTAAAATGAAAAAAAGGTTGGAAGATGAAGGATCTTCTTACTGACAGCAAAGGCTTGGTGAGAAACAGATGTCAGTGACGGTGTAAAACTGTGTTGCAGAGAGTATAGAGAGTTCATCAACTCTGACAATAGAGTGGAAGAGTTAAAAATTATACAAGGAAACCAACTCATCCTCAGGGTAACTGTAAACTTGTAGAATATCTCTGTGAAGATGATATCACATAGTTTGGTTAATATTGTGAAAATTTGTGATGATCCCGTGTAATTCTGTTTTGCCAATTTCCTATGTTAAAAATAAAAAAGTTTGAAAAAATAGGGAGGGTAATAAGAAAGGAAGGAATAAAGGAAGTTGTAGCTGGGTGTGGTGGTGCGCTGTAATCCCAACATTTTGGGAGACTTAGACAGGTGGATTACAAGCTCAAAGCCAGCCTCAGCAACTTAGTGAGACCCTGTCTGAATTTTTTTTTTTAAAGTTAGTAGTTCAGGGTAAAGTTCCACTGGGTTCAATCTTCTGTACTGGAAAAAATAATTAAATAAAGGAAAAAAGGCAAATATGTATATAAATTCCAAAAAGCATGAGGCGCTGATTTTTCTATATCGGTACTATATTTATTCATTATTAATCTCACATGCTCTAATGTCTGGTTAGACATATCAGATTATTTTGGAATGGTGTGATACAAAAGGAGTGAACTCAGACACATGGTTGTTTTAAACCATTATCACATGAGTGCATCCATATGTGTACCTTATGACGCCTAGTTGCTTTTGTATTATATGTTTGATCATCAGGATTGTATCTTTGAACAACTCATGACTTGATTAAACACCAATTCATTTCTAAATGCTTATCATTAATAAGTTTTATTAAACTAGTGGGAAGTTAAACTAAGATAATTTTATTTCTGATATAGACACACATTAGTACTGCTTCAAATTGCATCTGAAATATCCTGCTCAGATCATCTCTACAACTTTCTGTTCTGCTGAAGTGTGTTGACACATGCCTATAAGACCAGTGTTCTGGAGAGCTAAGAGCTGGAGGATTGAAAATTTGAAGCCTGTTTCAGTCCCATATTTTTCAACCTTTAGCGAGACCTTGTCTCAAAATAAATAAAATAAAAGAGCTAGGGATGTAATCCAGTGGTAAAGCACCCCTGAGTATAATCCCTGGTATTGAACAAACAAACAAAACAACTTTCTTATCTGAACACCTTTACTTCCACTGGAAGATATTTTTCTTCTTTGAGTCAGTGGAATAAATTAGGGGAGATTTCCTTTTGTACACATGTGAATTTTACTCTTCATCTTAACTTGGATTACGTGGAAACCTGCCTGATTTTCTAGAATAATTGTGTGAGTTCTTTAAGTAGTCATATCATTATTTGAATTCATTCAACCATCAACTCTCTTTGGCATCTCTGAATCTGTGTCATTCAAAAAAGCTAAGGAGTTATTAGCCATGACATGGCTTTCTTTACAGTGCTAACTAATCATGAGTACAACATATATTATCACATCAGGGCTTTTATTTTCTTCAGTAGTGTGATTTTCAGCAAAGGTAGTAGGCATCTATGATATGAGCAAATTGGAGAATGCACGCAATTCAAATTACAAGATAAATTCTTGTATGCCAATCATTTTATTTCAGGCATATATAGGTTTATTGAGCTTGGTGAAAAACCTGATATAGTAAACATTCAAAAATGACTTTATGAAAGATCATCTACTATGTGGTGCCATGATTCATAAAATATGGTTCTCTTTTGGTAGTATTGATGAGAAGGAAATTCTGTATACTGAAGAAGGAAAAGGTGTTTGCTTTAGTTAATACAGATAAAATATGCTGCATACATGAATTCAAGGGTGATTCTTTGACAAACTAACAAGATAAGGAAGAGGAAAGTGGAGTGAGTTCACATTTCATGGCAGGAAAGTGTGATAGAGTCTAGGTTTGAGACTGAACTGCATAGGCCACATTCCCTGTTGATGACTCCTCTCAAGTTGATGATTGTAAAATCCTACATTTTACAAAGAATTAGCTATAGTGTGGAGTGAAGCAAAAGTCTCTTTGTGTAACTTTGAGAAATTTCTGGAGAGGATATCAGAAAAGACTTTATAATAGGCCATCAATGAGATCCAAAGGAGATGGAACTGGATTATAAAGAATTGAAATTGTGCTAAGCGTATGAGCTTGGGAATTTACTGGGCACTATAGACTTCCTGTCTAGATGACTCTAATTTTGTGTTATAACCTAAGTGTTCTTTTGAGTACACATAATAGCTTAAATTATTAGTGTTTTAAATTTAGAAGAATGATACATTGGTTTCAGCTAGAGTTATCTGCGCACGAGAGTCTAGTTCATTGGAAAATTTATATGCATTTTAGGAACCAGTAGATTATTTCATCAGTGAAGTTCTAACTGTACACCTATTTTAGCTAGTGACTTGGAATGAATTTTGATGATTTGCGTAGAGAAGCAATATAATAACTGTGTTCTGACAGGTTGGCTAGGAAGTACTATGTAGAAATTTGAGGACAAATGGGAAGTAGGGAGAGGGAGACCAGTTATTAGACTTACAGTGATCTGACTTGTTATCCCTTCTATAATGATCAAGGCATGACTTGGCAGACAGTTGGACCAGGGAATGGCAAGGAAGTGGGAGAAGTGCTAGAACTTGGTAATTTTGAATATGTGTAATAACAATCATTAACATTTATATTGTATTTATTTGGCAATATGTGTATTCTTTTATGGTATCATTTCATCACAACCATTTTAAGAAGTATAGGTTCTAATCCAATTATAAGTTGAATAATTTTCTTAAGCTCTCATAGTTAACAATTATCAGAACTAAAATTTAAACCTTGAATCTAAACTCAAGCCACACAGAGGATACGGGCTTATCAGAGGCTAAAATAAAAAGTGATGTTAATATTTCTAGATAGAACAAAGATGCCCATGAGGAGACTGGATTAATGTTGGTCCTTGGCATAATATAATACAAACTTTCTCTTTTTCCTTTTTGTCTTTTTTTTTTAGTGAGACTTCATGACAGCATATCGGAAGAGGGCTTCCATTACTTGGTGTTTGATTTGTAAGTACTTATTTTATGGTGAGCCTTTTTTTTGGCTATTATTTTAATTGAACAAGGTTTTTATTATTATACAGTTCAAATTAATGGCTACTATAATATTTTTAAATATTTTTCAAATAACATTCAACTCTAATTCTTTTGAAAAGAGGTGACTACCCAGTGGAATTTTATTTAAATTAATCTTCATAAGTGAAAGTTTAAAGTCTTTCCCTTTGCATTTTCTATTGTGATATCACATGTAGTTTTCGGTTTTACCTTGAGGTACAAAACTAGCAGACAAGAACAAAATTTTCAATTGATTTTTAAAAAAGTGTTTGTGGGATTTATCAAATGTTAAAAAAGAAGACTCAAGGAAGAAACTAGTATTATCAAGGTTGATTTAAGTTAATCAGGATTTTAAAACTAAGGTTATAACAATAAGGATAAAGGGAAAATATTGATTCCTGGAAGAATAAGGTTAAACAGGTCACACATTTTAACTGAATGGTAGGAGTTTAATAAGAACACACTTTCTGAAAATCAGTTTGTGATTCTATTTATCAAGAGATTTAAAAATGACCATATCATTTGGCATAGTAATTTCACTTAGAGACTAGTACATACAAAATATAACCTAAATCCAGGTCAAGTTTTATGCTGAAAAATGTTCATTGATTCTATCCTCTAAAGGAGGGAGGAACAGAAAAGAAATGAGACAAATTAATAACAGAAATAAGTGTATAATTATAGTACATTCATTCAATGGACTGCTGTTTAACATTTTAATGTGATACTCGCAGGAGTTTTGGGTTACAGCTAAGAAAAATTATTTCAAATAATATGAGTCTATATCAGTGTTATTTCTCTCTGGATGTGTGAAAGATTTTTCCTTTGTCCTTGGTTTTCAGATGTTTGACTATTATGTGTCTTGGCATGCATTTCTTAAGAATTTATATTTGAGTTTAACTTCTTAAATATGGATTTATGACTGCAAAACTTTTTACACATTGCCTTCTTGAATACTTACTTTCTCAACACAGCTTCTTTGTCCTTACTTTTAAAACTCTGATGAAACGAAAGTTGGATTTTTTTTTTTTAATTGTCATAGTCTCATAGGTTTCTGAGGCTCTGTCCATGTGTCTCTCCTGGTATACTTTCCTCTGTTTGTTCAGATTGGATCATTTATGTTGTTCTTTCTTCAAGTTTGACTGAATCATTCTTTTGTTTTTTCCATTCTGCTATTGAATCTATCTATTCAGATTTTTTATTTCAGTTATTACATTTTTTAGTTCTATAATAATTTCCTTTTGGTTCTTCTTTGCTAATAATTTTTTTTCCCATTTGTTTCAACTGTGTTCATGGTTGCTCATGAAAGCTATCTTTTTCTTCTTATTTTTCTTCTTTTTTTCAAAAATGCTAAGGATTTAACCCAGAGTCTCACACATACTAAGGAAGCACTCTCCACTGGGCAATAACCTTAGCCCTATGAAAGCATTTTTATTTGGCTGATTTAAAATCCTTGTCAGATAATTCCAATAGTATTGCCATCTTGGTTTTGTAGTCTACTGATTGTCTTCTCATTCAAATTTAGATTTCCTGATTCTTTGAGTGATTTTGGATTATATACTGGACATTTGAGCATTATTTTATGGAATTCTATATTTAATTAAATCTTCTTTTTAGAAAGCCTTTTCTGATTCCACATCAGCAGGATTAAAGAG